GAGGAGGTGCTGGCATGTAGCAGGTGACTGTCTAAATGCATGCTTTAACGCATCCTGGGCAGTGTCTGCCAGGCTGCTCCGGAGCTTGCCTGACCCCGTCTCCTCTGAAAGCCACCTTCTGGGTGTGGAGAACAGCCAGTCTGGGCATTCAGGGAGGTAGGTGCGGGATTCCTGGCTGCCGGGTCAGCCTCTACTGGCCAAAGGCTCACAGGCACAACAGGGGGACATGTAGGCTGTGACCAGATGGGATCCTGGGGAGCAACTGGTGTCTCTCTGAGATGCTTAACAGACCTCTCTCCTCAGCTGAAGGTCTCACATGAACCCAAGCTATGTGAGACATGAAATATACTTGATGTGTGTATGTCATTCACAAGTACTTTCAGACACTCATTTGTCTAAACCATTTACCAAGCTGTGAAGTTAGTGGCCACTTCCATTTCTTAAATGAGAAAACTCAGAAAAAGTGACTTGTCTCAAAGTTTGGAAACTTACCAGGGTTTGGCACAGGTTTGTGCTGGCTTTATCTGAAATCCAGAGATGGAGGAGGATTTCCACATAAAATGGCCTCGATTTTTAGGTGGCCATGGCAGTGATAGAGGAGTGAGTCTTGGAGCCAGAACTAAAACTCCACACCGGTCAGGTACTAGGGGAGGGACCTGGGCAAGTTAATGCTCATTCTCATTTCCTTCATTTGTGAGATCTCAGAGGATTAACTGCCTGGCACGAGTAAATGAGGCAGTATTCACACTGCCTTGAACATGTAGATAAAAACGCAGCATCTTTTAGTTAAGTCTCATATTCTGCCCTATGCGATTTTTCCCAGCTTAAGTGTCTACCTTCAAACTGGACTAGAAACGGGCCAATCAGGGTTCTTCTCTGTCCTTCAAAGGTTTTGACTGGGGTTCAGAGTTGAAATTAAACCATTCGAAAGGAACTCTTCCCCGTCTGCAGGCTAGCTGATAGGTGTGGGGCAATCTGCCTTTTCTAGGCTGACTGGCCTCGGGAGTTTTTCCCGGTGGCCTGGCATCACGGAGATTTACCCGGCACGCTCGACGGAGCCTGGCCCTTGCTGGGAGGATTAAATTTCATCCAATGTTGAAACCACTTGAAATTCCTCTTGCTCATCCAAAGATACAGAAATAAAAGAAGCGACTCGTGGTCCTGCTGAGGCGAGATCTTTATTGTTAGCCGCTCTTGCATCTTTTACTATCTGCCAAAAATAGATGGATCCAAGTAACAGGAGAATCACATGCACATGGATGTTACCGCACACCCCGCACATTTCATCAAAAGATCAAATTGTATTTTTCACTGTGTTTATCTGTAGACTTCAGGGCTCTACAGAAGCTTCTGAGTGGAAAGAGGACAGTTTTACCCCTTTCACTTTTTCAGTGTCCCCGACATCCGGGAGGTTTGTTCTTGGGTGGGCTGAGGCAGGAGGCCACACCATTCTTCTTAAATGCCCTGGCCTAAACACTGCCTAGTAACTAACACTCGTGCACATACCATAAATCGACCGAAGTTGATACCCAAATTGGACTTATTTTTCCTCTTCACCAATCACTTTATCGCCCTGGTGGAAGCCCCTTTGCTTCCTGCATTTCTGTGTTACTCCTTAGTATTAAAAGAGTAGGTGTTCAGCCACTTTATAAAGAGCTGAGGATTCATAGTCATTCTAAACCACTTTGGAACTATGTAGGTCTCCCTGAAATATTTACTTGTCCTCTGCCTGTTTGACCAGTGGTCACAAGAATGAGTCATCCACTGGGCTTTAATCCACATGAGCCTGAAAAAACAGCAATACCAAGGCGATGACTTTATTAAAACCTTCACTTCCCTCAAACCTGATCATTTCAAAGCTAATTTTATTTGATGGTTGGCCTGTGAGTTTGTGCCAATTTGCAAGTGTTTTCCAAATCACCTTCTTAAACCAATGCAAAGTTTACCAGTTCTCATACATGTAATTCCTTACCGATTCAGAAAAACAGAATCTCTCTCCTAACAAAGGACTTTTCTAGAGGCTGTGGGATAGAAGGACTCCTCTTTACAAAATATGAGTTAGGGGTTAGGAACTAAACTCATGCTTTAAAAAAAAAAAATATATATATATATATATATACATATATATATATATACACACACACACACACACACACAAATGCCTTTACATATATATATATATATATAATCACATTATACATTTTATATAAATCTTATAGTTGCATATTATATAACTATAGATAGTTTATATGTCTATAAAAATATGATTCCCTAGAGATCCTATCCATATATAGATCTAAGAAACAAGGGAACTAAAACCTAAAGGCCAAAAATCTCTTTTGGGTTCTGGACTCTTAAAAAAAACCATACTTCCACAGTGTTGCCATCATTCCTATCTGTATTTTGAGACACACCCCTGGAACACGGGCCTGTTGTCAGTCCCTTCTTCAATGTTGCGTCCATTTCAGAGAAGCAAGATGCACAGTTGACACGTTCAGATCCACACTTTTGCGACTTTGTTATTAGAGCTGAGTGCTCATTTCTCCCTTATTCTGTCTACATTTTTCTAGGGATTTTCCGCATACTTCTTTCTTTTTAAAAAACAAAAATTTTTTTTTAACATTTATTTATTATTGAGAGAGAGAGAGACAGAGAGAGAGGAGACAGAGCATGAGCAGGGAAGGGGCAGAGAGAGGGGAGACAGAGAATCCGAAGCCGGCTCCAGGCTCCAAGCTGTCAGCACAGAGCCCGACGCAAGGCTCGAACTCACAAACTGTGAGATCGTGACCTGAGCCGAAGTCGATCGCTCAACCAACTGAGCCACCCAGGCGCCCCTCCCCATAATTCTTTTGAGGCATGCTGCAAGTTTTTTTTTGAAGAAACTGATACAGAACTCTTATCACAATGTTGGGCGTACACTCAGGGGGACTTGGCTGCTTACTAATCAAGACTCACACGGCTTCCTATTTTTCTCCTATTCAGTAGTTAGTACTTGTACCTTTCCTGGACCCTCTGCCACTTCAAATGTGCCTCTTACAGATAAATATTTCTACACATGTAACTCAACAAAGCTTAAGTCATGCTTCCTTGATTTCCAAAACTTCTGCCAACTTCTGCTCTGCCTCATCTGCTGAATATAAAAACAAAACACTTGGGAGCCACTTCTTTCAGATTCAGGTTTGTGTTCAGTTACTCCCCAGTAAGAAACTGTATTCCCATCTTTATCCATTAAACAGAAAGAGCCTAAAATACTTCATAGGTAAATCTACGAGCTTCACATTAATAAACAGGTACTTTATCCATTAGAAATACTGCTCTTAAGCAGAAGAAAAAGTTCAAATCAGAGAAAGCTTAAATGAAGTAAGCCTCTATGCTTTTACTGAGACAGTATCTACCTATACACCAAAATTACAAATGAAATAAAACCAAACATTAACCTCGAGTGGCAGCTGGACCCAAATGTTTATTACTGCCTCACTTTCTTCTAACCAGCCAACTCTTCCTCTTCTCATGATTTCTCTTTACTTGGTACCCAGCCACCCTCTGAGATACAACCGAACTCCTCCCTCCTCCAGAAAATGATTTCTGGCCCTCGTCGAGCTCCTCCCTAGAACTCCCTAACCCTAACCTCATGCCTCACAATTCCAACCAGAACTGATGTCTTCTACACATACAAGGCCATTTCCACAGATGTATATTGCAGAGCAGGGCCTTCCTTGCCCTGTATTGCCACAGTGCCTCTCCCAGAGTCCTCATAACACTGACCTTGTGGAGTTGTGGACACAAACCCTTGTGGGAAAAAGTTGAAAGCTAAGTCACCCCATCCCAATCTCATGCAACTTATGCGGTTAGCCCTCTCTGACTCATGGTTCACTTAAGAGCACAGTAAGTAAACTAAATTGATTTGGGTCCCCTATCCACAATGGTGACTTTAACTGGTAGCATAAAATAACGTCACACCTGAGAACTTCTGGGTTTACACTGCAGCACTGGTTCGTACGCCTGACCGCAAATGACCTTTTCCATTAATGCCCACAATTACTAGTTAGGGTCTTTCATACAGTGTTTCTCTCAAGAACATTGAACACAATGCCCTGCCCCTTTCTTGTGAAGCATGGAGGCTTTGCTGTATATTGCTTCAGTATCGCTGGCATTCCCACTTGGAACAGAGTGGGCCTCACCCTCTCCTCATGACTAAGTCCAGAGAATGTGTGGTAAAAGGAGTTTTGTGACATTTTAACCTGAGTAGTATTCCAACCATTGTGCATGAATGCTTGGCTTACAGTGCCTATGTCGCCACATTGCTGATTACAATAAATGTGAGGTAACCTAGTACGAGTTGTGCCCAATCCAAAACTCAAAAACATTTGTGGGCACTCTAAAGCAGCCTGGAGCTTCCTAATTTCACAAGTCTGGTGGGCCTAATCTTTTCCCCAAACCGAATCTTAACATCTCCAGTGCTCTCTTCTTAGCTAGGCATGGGCAACAAATACTGCCCTTCATGCAAATTTTGTTCTAGTAACATATCAGGACACATAATGGGGATTGTTTTTCCAGTGCTAGGGATAGACTACATGGGTCAATTTTCCAACCCTCTGTGACACAGAGGCAGTGAAAGAAGTTCATAATTAGGCCTCTACAGTGAAGGGCACATAGGCTTTAGAGTGAGAAAGATCTGAGTTCAAACTGAAGCGTGCCATTTGCTAGGTGGGTAACCTTGAACAAGTTGTAATTTCTGTGACCCTGTTTTCTCATCTGCCAAGAGGGGAGAACACTACTTCCCTCAACAGAGTTGTGGAAATTACACACAGAGCCCCTGGCGTACTGCTACAATACAGTACATACTCCATAAACGTTAGTTACTATTTTTATTATCTGTGAGTTTGAATTGGCTAGTAGAGTCCATCTGCCAAGAGGGGAGAACACTACTTCCCTCAACAGAGTTGTGGAAATTACACACAGAGCCCCTGGTGTACTGCTACAATACAGTACATACTCCATAAACGTTAGTTACTATTTTTATTATCTGTGAGTTTGAATTGGCTAGTACAGTCCATGATTTTTCATTCACTGTTTCAGTCTTCTCAGAAAAGTCATCTAGGACTAAAGTTAAACATACATTTATCCTGTGAGACTGTTAAATACTTGTAAGGTTAACTTAGTGGGTAGAAAAGGTTAGAGCACTAAAGTGGAAGGATGTTGCCCTTGTCCCCACTCCCTTATGGTCCAAAACACACACACACACACACACACACTCTCTCTCTCTCTCTCTCTCTCTCTCCACAATAAACCTTATGCCCATTTGTCCATGTCTCCAACCATACTTGATGAAAATGCCTGTGGTCTTAAAAGGTTAGAAAACTTTCAAAACTTAAGAATGGGAAAGTGAGGCCTCAGGGAACTGTGTATATTCCACTAGAAAAGGAAGGGGGAGAGAAGAGGGAAAACTGCTATATTTTCTTGTCATTAGTAATATAATGGCTCCCGTGTGCTGGAATCCCAGTCTGATGAGAAGAAATGACTCGAAGGTCACGAATGGATCTAACCGTCCACTGTGAAAGCTCTCGCAACACCTTCAGGCCCCACAGCTTCTTCTCAAAGAGACCACCATCTCCAACAACGGTAGGCATCCCATCAGCCTCATTGGGGGGGATCTTGTGTTCCAGGAGCATCATTAATTCCTCCAGTTGGTAAGCAAAGGCAGCAACTTGGAGTAGAAGGGTATGTATTGCTTGATGGAAGTCCCCTTCAGCTGGAGTAAAATGTACCTGTTGGTCTTCTAAAAGCCTGGCCAACATAACATGGAAGGCACGATAAGCTTGGAGGTTGTCTTGGAGTCGTTCTGCCTCAGTCAGCTCACTCCATCGATCAGTGCTTGCCACTGGCACACCATCCACAGAGTCCAGGTTTATGTTCTCGTTCAGGCCCTGATGCTTCATCTGGCCAAGGATACATAAAAACATCATATCTTCTGTAATTATCCCAACATTTTTATTTCATCCCTAAATCTCATGTAAAATCTTTTTCATCTTCCTGGTCAAAAAGGATCCAGATTGTAAAGAAAATAACAAATCTACAAAAGGAACTCTTTATTTGAGATCCAATGATGGGACTTTAGGAAGACCTTATTGTCTCTGAAATTATACATACTGTTTTGACTACCTGTTCAGTTTTTGTGGGAGAATCTGCAGTTTTCATTGGGTTCTAAAGGTTGAAAACCACTGGTCTAGAATGCTTCCTTCCCGCTTCAAACTGCCTCCTGGAAACTGAAGTATTTTAAATCATATTGGAGATTTAAGTAATTTAAACATACTTAAAAACACTGGGTACATCTATGAAGCCCTAGAATTAACCCACTGCAGAATTCTTCTAACCCCGTCTCTTCCATTGTCCACTCTCAATGGTGAGGACAATCCTTTAAGAGAATTCAGTGGGAATTCGTTTAAAAAAAAAAAAAAAATCAGACTCTTTCGTATCTCAAAGAGTCTGATTTCTAACTGGTGAGGCTGTACGAATCTATATTCAGAACTCTCACAGGGCCTTCAGTGTTCCTATAGGCCTTAGATGGACACCGATGGGTATCTCCTTCTATCAGAAAACCAGTCTGGAACTCCCAGTGAATTTTCTAGGGGATCCTTTTGACAGTGTAGGTGACTATTCTATTTAGACACAGGGAGACTTGGTATAAATTATGAAAAAGTGGGTGGCTAGGAGAAATTCTTTGGATCTGTGCTGCTCTTCTCTCAATCCTATACACCTCACTCTTTACACAGTGCAAAAATTCAGAACGATGTATACGAAGAACCCATACTTAGAGGGCCCACGGCTAATCTATTCTGGTAGAATTCAGACTGTAGGCGATCAAATTAGGAACAGCCTCCAAGACATACAGCCAATCCTACCCAGAACCCCATGTATATTTTCTTATTCAAAGACCATGTCTCCTAAATAGCCTAGAGAAGAAAATAAGGTCACAGGAGTTTCCTTAAGGGAAGGAACCATGAAGAACCATGTCAAATGACGGGCCCAATCTATGAATGACTATATGAGGAGGGCCTTCACGATTGGCAATGGGGGCTGGGACAGACATGGTGGTAACGGGCTCCATCAGAGGAGATGAAGTGAAAACAGACAACAGCAAAATAGGCAACTTACATAAGATTCCATAAGAGCAGTCAGATCTGAACGAATCTTCCTTGCTAGCCAGATAGAGCGGCTACAGAGGTCCCGGCGGTGAGGGGTCAGCGATGAGTGCTCTGCGAAAGCCATCCCCTAACTCAAATGTCCCAGGAAACAAGTGAGCTGGGTTTGCTTCTGTCTACACTGGTCCAAATAAGAAATGTGACTCTCAGACTAAATCCACTGGGCATTCTGTACTAATGGGATTGTGCACCCCACCCCCACCCCCTGCCTGACTCAGAGGTGGCAGCAAATTCCTGGCTGTGGATTTTTGTGCCTGTGGAATCAAAGGCCCCTTTTTAATCAGCTTTTTTTCCTGCAGTGTCTGCCTCCATCTCTCTCCTCCACTCAGTGCCTAGCCTACTTGTTTTTATGTCATTGTTTTGCTTTTGCACTTAGCAACAAGGTCACTATCACACTAATCCTCATGACACCCCTGCCTAATGTGATCTGTATTATATACATATAATCATTTAATTTTATTATTACCCTCCTTTGTATTCCCCATGTCCTCCTCTTTCTTTCCTTTTTTTGGCCTGGTAAAGTGTTCAAGAATATTAAGTTATTACTATAAATACAACCGCCACTGATTAAGCAGCTACTCTGGACCAGACACTGTGCTAAAGGCTTTAAAGCCTTTATTCGACCTATGGAATAATTCTATGAGATAAATATTAATTTCCCCATTTTACATACGAAATTGAGGCTTAAAGAAAGTAAATAATGTACACAAAACCCAGGAAGCAGGCACAAAATTTCAATATAGGTCTCTGATTTTAGAGCTGTTTCTCTCATTGACTTTCCAATTTCATTCTTTAGGTTTTTCACATTTGTTAAGAAACAAAGTTTATGTGAAACAGGTCCCTTAAAAATGCAGCATCTTTTCATTTGTATCACTTCATTATGTATCTAAAGTTAGTTTAATTTACACTAAAAAATCAGCAAAGTAAGCATCTCTAACCTCGATCATGGTGCCTTCCTCATAGCTACAGGATGAGGAAGGTACTGTTTAGGCCTGTTTTCTTCCAAAGGACAGGAAACACCCAACCCTGACCGGGTAACATTTCTAAGGCAGTCTCAAGTGACAACATGCTTTTCTTTTTCTTCCTTAGCCCAGTCACACCACACTGCTTCTCAACAAGATAAGAGAATGAGCTGGGCTTTGAAATGAGGGCAAAAGAGTTTAACAGCATGTGCAGAGTTGTTCTTCTATTGCATTTAACTCCGTAGGTTAGAGGATGATACTTACTGACCCAAGAGCTGCAAGTGTCATCCCTGAATCAATCAATTAGCTCCCACTGTTTCATAGCATAGACGTTGCCTCTACACTGAAACCCACACCTCAGGTGCAAACTTCCATAAGTAAACAATAAGCGAGAGTAAGAAGGGAGAAAAGTGAGAAGTGGGTGCTGTCACAGTAGGCCTTTTAAGAATGTAGGAGGATTCTAGTTCTTTAAGTTAGTACTTGCGTGGACACGGAGTTTTCTGAAAAAGCACCGATACTGAATGCCACCAAGGTTTTGTCACTTATCAGACTAACATAAACTTCACAGCATCCTTAACGTTCTCTCTACTAGACTAATAAGGCCACCTTTTCTACAAGTCTGCCAAAACATGGGAGGGATTTCCAAGTTTGCCAGATGATCACAGAATCCTATGGCAACTCAGCATTAGAAATCAAGAACTAAAATGAGTCAGATGCTGTCTGATTCTCAATGAGAGCAAACAGCATCTGCCACATAAAACCTGCTCTGAGGGCACTTGTTTCTCACTGAACGGCATCAATGGTCTTCATCCTTTGGAGAACTGTAATCATTACAATCAAGGAAGACAAGTTGCTTCCAAGAAGACAACTTTTATTGTTCTTCTTTACATGTTTATTTTGGATATGCCTTAACTAGATTAAGAGAAAACAAGGATTTGAAAAGCAGAGTATCCCTTTTATTATAATTTCTTTTTACATAACCTTTTCAACCTAGATTCAGGTAACTACCTGTCTCTCCCATCAAAGGAGAAGGGTCCTGCACATTACAACAGGCAAAAAAGGCTTTCAGGAAATAAAATATTTTAAATTGATCCATTACAATTTTTCAAATTTCTTGAGTACATTGGAAAGTGGGAAAAAGAAGGAGGGAAAAATGGTACTTCAAACAACCAGACCGTGATAACCTTAGCTGGCTTTAGTACACTTTTTAGATTTTTTTCCAATAGGTACAAAGGAGGTTCAAGTGCTCTATGTAGATGCTTTTCCATACCTGATTTCTTTTTTTTTTTTTAACTCCCAGTAATCCTGGCCAGTGTGTATCCAAACTCTCTGAAGCACAGTAAGTCTCAATTATGCAGAATAACCACAGGCAACCAGAGATTAGGGGGAAGCGCATCTCCCAGAAAGAATACTTGTATCTGAGTTACATTTTCAGAATTTAGAATCGCCAATTCAAGATGGAGAATATGCAATGGGAAGAGTTATTAAAAAGGTAACACAATTTGACTATGAGTAGGCAACGTGGAATTTTAAGGTTAGGAGAGCTCCTTGGAAGGACATAGAAGTAAACAGCGTGATAAGCAGACAGGGAAAGGGAAGAGGGCCTAGTAGAAGCCAGCTTACTTGCACCACTTTTTATTGTGCTAGCATCCCTTTCTCAAAAGGAAAAAAGATAAAGTCCCTGGAGAATATTTTAAAATTGATTGCATACTGATAATAATAACTTATTGAAGCAAACTGTTGGCAAATGGTACCTATAAAGAGGTCAAGAAACAAAAGGAGAAACAGAAAGTTCCTAATTATTAGAACCAACTTGTTGCTTTTGATGGGGAGGAGTTTTATATAGAGAAAAACATATTTTCCCTTTCTCTCATCAAGTTTTTTATGCAGTTTGCTTTTGTGTAGGTGGTTAAAATATCTGATGACTAACCACTGCAAGCACAACTTACAGGGACAAAGAAGATAAATGTGACGACGACAGAAGTTAAGTGTGGAGTCCAGATGCGAGCCAGTGAAACAATATAAAAAGGACTTATAAGGGAAGTGGAATGACTTTGTTGTAAACGCACCCAATCGATCTGATAATATTTTCAAATGTACTCAACATACCAGAGTCCATTCCAAATCCTTACTGTGGGCAGGAAAGCATATTCTACATCCCTTCTATCCTTATTCCATTTTCTACCCCCACACTGGAGGGACGGCAAATCTGCAACACTCTGAAAAGAAACAATGGTGCATTTAAGTCTGTTCACTGTAGGTGTCTGACTCCCTATCCCTGGCATCCCAACCACTGACACTAGTGGGTGTAAAGTAAGCCTCTTTCAGAGATGACATTTTGTTACCCCTCTTTTTGGAAAAAAATAAATCAAAGAGAAAATTAATAAACTTTGTCGTTTTAGTGTTTGTGAAAAACAAGCCGTTCCTTATTTTGCTCCCAGCAAAACTTCATTCTTTCCAATAGCCATCACACATTTCTGACAATGAATAGGACAAGCCTTTAACTCCGGCTTGTGAGGTACACAGAAGGATAGAAACTGCCCTTCTAATTCTCTAAAAATCCCCTAACAGGTTTTTAGTCTTCTGGGAGTTATAAACTTGTAAAAAAAAAAACACCACCTGCCTCTCCCATGGACAGGAATAAGCAGTCTACCCCATTCTATCTCAATGGAAGTGGTAATTCCCAGAATTTTAGGTGAAAGCCAAGGTGATTATTATACAGATTATTAACTTCGTCTATGGAAGTCTTTCCTCTTCTGAAGTGTTCTTAGAAGGAAAACAAAACAGAGCAATTTTCCTGGACTTAAAACTGTACGAGTCATAGACCTCTTCACTGATGGCAGTGTCCTTCACTAATTGGGAGCTGGAATGAACCAATGATAAAGCAAAAACCAAAACAAAGCAAGGGGCCACAGTTGGGCCAACAGGAAGGTGTGCAGGAAGACATGAAGGGGACAAAAAAAGAAAATAAATGCATAAGAGAAAATCTTGTATCTGTAATTCAGACCCTGAACAATCCTTCTCATCCTCTCAAAATTCCTAAATTTCAATGCTCTAAAAACTCAAAGAGCACTAAATACTGAAAACCTAACAACCTTCCCTAAATAGGCTTCTGAAAAAGCATTAGGCTACTGTATGCTACTGTAGTGATTTTGTTAGTGCTGAGGACCAGCTTTCTTTAAAGGCCACTGGAGAGCTATGATTTAGAGGCTGGCTGTGCTTCTTCAACCCTATATCTTGCCTTCAAAAGTACTTCTTATGGAAAGGACCCCATGTCAGAACAATCTAATCTCTCCCAGCCCCACAAAATATAGCAACAAAGATCCAAAAAAAAAAAAAAAAAAAAAAAAAAAAAAAAAAAAAAAAAAAAAAAACAAAAGAAAATCAGACTTTCCATTAATAAATAAGGAATCTCAGGTTCCACAACACAAAAACACACATGTTCAAAGTGCAAATTTCTGCCATTAGTCTGGGACTTTTCTCACTGATACAGAGCCCTGTCTTATGGTCAGAGAAACCATGTAGAGGGCAGCCCCCCTCCCTGATGGGAGCCTGCTTCCAAGCTAATGAGCACCACTGAGAACCAGATGGAGGTGTTGGGAGGGGACTGAAGTGCTGGGGTCACAGAGGAGGGAGGTGGTCCCCATGAATCCTTCCTTTCCTAAACCCAGCAGGGAATGGAGGAGAAGGGGGTGAGTGAGAGAGGTGGGCTGTTTTAACAGCTCACCCTGCCAGGGGGCCTAAAGTGCCAAGTCAAGCTGCCAGCCTCCAGAGATTAGAACTGTATGATGCTTTGGGGGTAAGTGTGCCGCGGTGGGTAGAAGCCAGAACCATAGGGCAGCAGTGAAGGAGAAGGGGCTTAGAGGACAGTAATATACTATCAAGAGTTAAAAGCTGATCCAGAGCACATCAGAGTTACAGGTTTAAGAAGGGATCTGCCGGTGAGCACGAAGTCTGCCTGGCTGGAACGGAGTAGGAGGATAACCCTCACTTTAAGAGCTTCTTCTTTTTTGCCTACCTTTTTGGTAAAGGCAACATCAATTTTATAAAGGGGACAATAGAGGGAGAAGAAGGTGGGTGTAGATGTGTGTGCTGTGATCCACAATGGAAAGAGCAGGCCCTTCAGTTATTTTACTAGATTTTAAATGCTTTAAATTTTTTTTTTTTTGTCCTTTTTATCTTTTAAATACAAAGTCTGAGCTGTCCCAGTGCCCAAAGTCTTCCCTTCCACTAAGGTCCAGTAGAGTCTGAATCTTCAATCAGAACCTCTGTGGTAGCACCGAGTATATCCGAGTTCATGACCAGCCCTTCAGTGCCCCCACTGCTGCCACTTCCCACAAAGATCTTCCCATCAGCCATCAGGCTCACCCGCTCTGTCCCACTACAGTATGACTTTGACATCCCTTCGGCTTCTAGCAGGAGGCACTCTCCAGAGGTGGAGTTTCCCAATGGCTCAGGAAGAAGAGGAAGACCCTGCCCATCTGCAGGTTGTGTCAGGGACTCTGGGTTAGTGCCCAAGATATCTGTGCTGGTGATGAGGGCGCCTGCATTGGCAGCCAGAGCTTCGGCAATCAGCACCTCGGGGTGGCTTTTTGCTTTGTGTGCCACTACGCTGTCCTTCTTCTCAAATTTTTTGCCACAGATATTGCAAGAGAACTGGTAGAAGGAATCTGCATCATGCTTCTTCATGTGCCAATTAAGGGATGCCTTTTGCCGACAAGTAAATCCACAGATCTCGCATCTAAGAGAGTGGAAGAGGAAATGGCTGATCAAACAGAGAAATGAAAAGGGCTCTTACTCAGGGTCAGGGCAAGAACTTAGAGGTCACATATACAAGCAATAGACACTAACATATACTTGTGAAAAATTAGGAAAAGTTAACTAGATGGAAAACTAATCTGTTTTTTTCTTTTGTTTAAAAACCAGAGGAAACAAGGAAAAGTTCACTAAGTAACTTGCATCCCCAATCAATCCTCTGATTTGGTAAAAGTAAACAGCAGTGGCAACTGAAATGTCTGTACAGGGGCTAACCCGCGAGCAGGGCATGTATGCGCTTCTCCCCCAGATGTTCACCAGTAAATAAACACTCACTGTAACGGCTTCTCGCCAGTGTGAATCATCCGGTGCACTGCCAGATTGTGAGAGCTCTTGAAGGCCCTGGCACAATATTCACAGATATAATCCCTTTGATCTAAGAAGAAAAATAATGTGGTCAGTGTTCCATTTCGAATCCCTCTTAAGTATTTTTTCCCAGTTTATAGTAAGTAAGCAGATGATCAGTTAGTAAGAGCAATATTGTTTTCAATGTATAAAATACACTTTGGATAAACAAAATTTTAAAAAGATATACACCATTTTCTTTTTTCATGTTTGTTTTTGAGAGGAAGAGAGAGAGACAGAGAGACAGACAAGACTGTGAGCATGGGAGGGGCAGAGAGAGAGGGAGACACAGAATCCAAAGCAGGCTGCAGGCTGGACACGGGGCTCGAACTCACGGACCATGAGATCATGACCTGAGCAAGTCAGAGGCTTAACCGACTCAGCCACCCAGGCACCCAGGACTTGTTTTAGAAAACTAAACAAAGCCAAACAAAAACAACCTAATGGAAATAGGAGAATTGGAACCCTAATCTCAATCTTACCAATAATCCAGATCTTGGATAAATTGCTTAGTAAGTAAACAACTACATTTTCCCTGGATTTTATTCTTTAGAACAGTTTTTCCAGACTGTGGAAGCTGAATGCTTACATATGAAGAATTTGGCACTCAAACACCAAAATCAACAATAACAACAGAATTTGGCATCTCCTAGAAGAAAAGTGATCCACAATTAAAGTGGTAATCATGTCTTCTGTTTCAGGTTTAAAAAATGTTACCCAAGATAAACAATTTAAATTTCTCTCAAAAAGGTTCAAGTTGCTGTCACCATATATGTGCAAACAGTACCTGTATTCTTTACCTTATTCTCCTACCCCACATCTTCTGCACCATTCAACCCCCGCCTGTCATTTCACAATCCCCCCAAATTTCACAGGATTTTTGATGAACTTGGTAACATGGTGTAAAATCTATGGGTCAAAGGAGCACTGCACTTAATTATTTCTTTATCACTTGGTTTTGGAGAGAAGTGGACAAGGAGATGCTCTGTATCTCTTGAATAAATGACCACTATGTTTTCTGGGCCTTTCTCTTAAAATTGCTACACATAGTCACAGTGAAAACACGAGGATAAGTTAAAAGGCAAACAATATCCAATTTAATTCTATGCCCCATCCCAAACAGTTCTAAAGCCAAGTGTGGGAGAAGAGCCAGGTTCTTCTCAAGCTTGAATATATTTGGGAATCATCTAGGGATATTAGTAAATGCAGATGCTAGTTGAGCGGGTCTGAGATTCTGTAAGTAACTCGCTCAAGTGACATCGATTCCTGTTGGGCTATTTTCTACATGATGAATAGGCAAGGTCTAAAAATGCACTTTTAACCCAGAGACAACTCTTCAGTTTGTCTCCCAGGTCTTGCCTACCTTTCTAGTTTCATTGTAACATGCAAACCTGGGTGGGGCATCCACTTGCTCAAATAAATTACATTTTTAAACAATGTTTATTTTAAGAGAGAGAGAGAGAGACAGAGAGACAGAGAGAGAGAGGGAGAGATTGAGAAAATGTACGAGTCGGGGAGGGGCCGAGAGAGATGGTAAGAGAGTTCCAAGCAGGCTCCACACCATCAGCACAAGCCCCACATACAGCTCAATCCCACAAACCATAAGATCATGACCTGAGCCAAAATCAAGAGTCAAACACTTAACCGACTGAGCCATCCAGGTGCCCCAAATAAATTACATTTTCAAAGGGAGTCTGTACATACAAATTTGGAAAAAGAAAAACTGCAATGACATCATAAAATTGTATTAACCAAATACAAATAATTGAAATGGAGTGAATTTCTAAAGGAGTCAGTTTGTCATAGTAGTTACTTGATACTTATAGCTAATACCCTAAACTGGTTGTCAGAAACTACTTTTGTAGAGAATAAAACTGTATTAACAGGGAGAAGGAGCAGAGATATGGCAGCATCTAGCAAGGAATAGAGTGGAGACAACATTCTCCCTGAAGCAGCATGGTATCATGGGAAGACTGCAGACTTTGCAGTGAGTCAGACCTGAGCTCAAACCCTGGGGCTCTGAGAAGTCCGTGTGCCAGGCCCTGTGCAGTAAACAGCACTATGGATGTGATCTTATTTCATCCTTATAATAATTCCATGATATCTGTGACATTATTATCACTATTTTTCAGATGAGGAAAGGCGAGAAGTTAAGCAACTTGTCTAAGTCACACATACAGTAAAAGATGGAAAGGGTACATACATCAGTATAACCCTGGGTAGGAGACAACTAGAATTCCTAGTTGTACCCTCCACAACTACTGAAAAGATAGTAGGTAATAATCCAGTGCCTGGCACCTGCTCAATTAACTCTAATACCCAGCCTAATTTGTTCCTATTAACTGAATGGCTTTGAGATTGTCAGTGGCTAAAAATGAGTGAAATTTGAATCCATTCTGTATTATGTATTACGAAGGCATTTGGTTTCTCTTTTTAAAAGAAAAGCTCCTACAGGAGATTTCATGGGAATGTAATAGCTAGCCTTCACAATTTCAACAGCACCAGAATTGCCAGGAGCTAGTGAGTAGTTAGCATAAACCAGAGGCAAGCCTCTTTACCATCCAGGCTTTCTCTTCATACTCCTCATTTCTAGTCCATAAGAGCTACTACAAAGTATCTACCAGAAAGGGAGTTAGAAAATCTTGGTTCTGTTAAAAACTAGTGATGTCACCAAGGCCAAGTTAATGTGCAAAGCCTCTGGTTTCTCAGCTGTAAAACAAGCATAATATAAGCAAACTTGGTGATGTTGAATGATGATGATAACATGTAAAGTTTCTAGTCCACAGGTGATATAGAATATGTGCTCAATAAAAAAACTGTCCTGGTCATAAAAGTTCTTAAAAAAGTCAAAGGATAAAAGCGAAAAAGCCCTAGTTTGTTCATCTTTTATAAAATTTATGTTTTATTACATTTTATTTTCATACCTTTCTCTCACACTTGACTGTAGACTTTTTAAGATTTACATTAGAAAAAAGTATCATTACCAATCTACATACTTAAAAGTAGAATGCACTTAACACTTGATAAAACATTTTATTTAAAAAGTACCTGTATGATGTTTGGCATGTCGTAGAAGTTGCTTCTGGAGCCTGAAGAGTCGCCCACAGGAGGGATGAGGACATACATATTTCTTCTTCAGCAAATGCTGATACTTAATGTGGTGCTAAAACAGTAAGAGAATAGAAAGAGGGATAAAAATTAAGGCTTCTTGAAAGCTTGTTCCTTTGCTAAGTCAAAAGTGCTAAAGAAAAACCAAATACTCTGCATATGGATGGGGGGAGGGAGCAGTATAATAAAATAGTTAAGATGGGGCGCCTGGGTGGCGCAGTCAGTTAAGCATCTGACTTCAGCCAGGTCACGATCTCGCGGTCCGTGAGTTCGAGCCCCGCGTCGGGCTCTGGGCTGATGGCTCAGAGCCTGGAGCCTGTTTCCGATTCTGTGTCTTCCTCTCTCTCTGCCCCTCCCCCGTTCATGCTCTGTCTCTCTCTGTCCCAAAAATAAACAAACATTGAAAAAAAAAATTAAAAAAAAAAAATAGTTAAGAACATAGGCTATGGAAACAGATCTGGATTCCAATCTGGGTCCATCATTCATGAGCAGTGTGACCTTAGGAAGTGTACTTAAATACTGTAAGCTACAGTTCTCACTGGCAAAATGGAGACAGTTACTGCCCTAACAATACCAATTGCATTATCATGAGAATATAGAGATCATGTATTATATAACGCTGAATGCAGTAAATGGCCTATAGCAAAAGAATAGTACCAAACATTACTACAACAGAACCAGAATCAGAAAGTGAGGGCTTAGTCTCTCTTGCATTATATTTGCTGCTAAACTAAAAATCAAACAGGCCATTTGTCCTTTTTTTACAATGTTTATTTATTTGAGAGACAGAGTGAGAGAGAGTGTGAGCGCAAGTGAACAAGCAGGAGGGGGCAGAGAGAGCAGGAGAGAGAAATCTCAAGCAGGTTCCGTGCTGGCACTGTCAGCGCAGAGCCCGACATGGGACTGGATCCCACAAACCGTGATGACCTGAGCCGAAATCAAGAGATGAACACTCAACCGACTGAACTACCCAGGTGCCCCCAAAGAGGCATTTCTTAAGGTTTAGTAATAAACATTTCACTTTCATGTCCTCTGCTAGACCTAAATATAAGCTGAATCTTTAATTCATTTTTAAAACTCTACTAAAAAAAAAAAACAAAACCCTAAAAATTTATTTTAATTAATAGATTTTATTTTAAGAAATCACTGATTTGAGTTGCTAATTTTATTTTTAAAAATACACATTAAAATAAAGTCTGTTCATCTGTGTCTCTGGTATGTTGGTAAAATCATCTATCAGAAGTATTTACACCACAATAGGAAACACCGGACTATTTCAAGGAAATCCTTTTTTTGTGCTATGTTTTTAGACATTTTTGGTTTTTTTTTAGTGTTTATTTATTTTTGAGAGAACAAGAGCATGCATGAGTGGGGGAGGGGCAGAGAGAGGGGGCACGGAGGACCCGAAGTGCACTCTGTGCTGACAGCAGAGGGCCCGATGGGGCCTGAGCCCACGAACCGGGAGATCACGACCTGAGCTAAAGCCAGACGTTTAACCAACTGAGTCACCCAGGCGCCCCTAGACACTTTTCTTGACATTGTACGTCAATGATAAAGCCTGCACAAGTTCACAAATTATAATATCTCATGAAATATGAGAACTAGTAATGGAACCTAACCTGAAAGGCTGCCTTATGTAACAACTTACTGACCTGCAAATAGCGAGGGTGAGCAAGAACGGTTCCACATCCTTCCATCTCACAACGGACATACTGGATTGGAGGCTTTTTTCTATGATCAGTATGTAGGAGATATGTTAGCAAACAGAAAAGAGGCACTCTGCACAGTGACTTAATTCAGTGCACTATAGGGGACAGCAATTTTACAGCACAAAGAATTAAAATCTCTTTACTAGTATACAGCTTGCACAGAATTTATGTTAGAAACAACCAGAAACGGCCAAATGTTTTGTAAAGAGTTTAAAAAAAATTGGACAAAATAAATTAGAACTCCCCAAAAGGTAAAGAAGCATTAAGATTTTTTAAGACCCTGCAATGGAAATAAAAACACAGTAACTTTGCATCAAGGACATTAATAAAGTTGCATTTGAGAAATTTTTAAATAGCCATTCCTGCAAGGTAATTGTGAGTAATTATGTTGAGTAAAGTGCTTACCATCAGGAATAAGGAACACAGTAAGGGTATAAATTACTTACCTCCGTTTGGGTAATCGTGGACTTTTGTCATCTTTTCGCCTTCTTCCTCTCCTGTAATTAAAGAACAGAGTAACTACCCACATATTCCAGATTGAAGCTTGGAGTGAAGGATGGCTGAAGACATGTACTCAAGACCACAGAGAAGGTGGCAGAAACAAAGGATACCCCATAATAGACAGAACCAAAGACATATCTGACAAGCCAAACAAATAGCTCATTCTAAAATAATTTCACTTAAATAAATCTGCACAAGTTCAATACATACTTTTCATTAACTATACATTACCATGGAAGATTTGGATAAACCTCAAGGTTACTACTTGAAGAGTTGTTTCAATAAAAAGTCTATCACCTAAATTTAATCAATTTAAAAAGTAGAATCGAAAGAGTCCATTATCTAAAACCCTGAGAATATAAACTCTACTCTCCTTATACAGAACCAAAAGCCTAAACACTTAAAAAAACAAAATCTTATTTCTGCAACAGGCAATGATGGCTGGACAGGAAGTCAAGATTCTTAAATCACTTGCGTTACTTAATTTGCCCTTCTTTTGAGGCTCCACATTTGCCATACTTGTTTTGCTCTTACCCTGCCTCCCAATAGCTCCCGTCTTACCCACTCATTTAGATCTCTTTAAGTACTGATTTGAATTAAATTTAAACTTTGCAAGCTTTTGAGTCTCTCGAATGAAACTGACAGCTGCTTGAGGCAGCAATATGTACCTGTCAATAACCCTCCTCACACTCCCACCCTTTTTTTCCCACTAGTGGCTTCAAAATCTGTTAGGTTTCCATTTTTAGTAGTAATTGCCTACTCACTTCCTAGGAGGTTCCTCATCCTCTCTAATTTCATTCTCTTCTTCTTTCACCTCTACCTCCACTTCCACTTTAATTTCTTTCTTCTCTTTTTCTTCTTTCACCTTCCCCGATTTTCTCCGTGGTTTTGGGGTTTCCCTGAAAACACAAATGCATTTCAACACTGGTATCCAGCAAATGATCTTTTCAAGGGGACCTGTGACAACGGGGTAAAATCTGTGATTATCATTGGTTTACTATAAAATTATGATCCTCAGCTCATGAAATATGATTTACAGTCAATTGTTCCTCACATGCATGGTAATGATACATACTTAAAGTCGCTTAGGCTAACAATACCCTAGAATCAAAATTCACTATAGTTATACACAGAAAGACAAAAGTAAAAAATTTTAAGTATTCAGACAATTATTGTATCTTGTTAAGATAAACATGCAGACAGGGGCGCCTGGGTGGCGCAGTCGGTTAAGCGTCCGACTTCAGCCAGGTCACGATCTCGCGGTCCGTGAGTTCGAGCCCCGCGTCGGGCTCTGGGCTGATGGCTCAGAGCCTGGAGCCTGTTTCTGATTCTGTGTCTCCCTCTCTCTCTGCCCCTCCCCCGTTCATACTCTGTCTCTCTCTGTCCCAAAAATAAATAAACGTTGAAAAAAAAAAAAAATTAAAAAAAAAAAAAAAAAAAGATAAACATGCAGACATCCAATAATTTGGATATGATCAATATAAAGTTCTATATAAATAGAAGAGAGGGCTGTGTGAAGGAGTTAGAAGATCATGTTCAATTTGCAAAACAAGTACATAATTGCTCATTTAAAATGAAGTCCATACCCATTAGTTTAGTAACAAGGCAAAATAAAAGCACACAATAGTGCTTTCCTAACTTATTTTTCATTGACATGTCTGGAGTAAAATCTGAGACGTGCCTTTCTAAGTGGGGTTTGTAGGTCTCGTCTCTTGGGTCGTCTTTGAATGGTATTTCCTCTTCACTGATTAGCATCTCTTCTTCTTCCTCCTCTTCCTCATCACTACTAAAAAGAAGCAAAAAGAGATTAGAAATTCTAGTTGTAAGGATTATATCTGACTGGATTTTATTTGCTAATTTATTTAGAGGTACCAGAAAGTCACAGTAAGTTATTTAGAATTTTCATCCTTACGGTCTAACTGGATGCAATCTAGCTACTTTATCCTCACAATAATAATTAGAACTAAAAATACATTACTTCATTAAATCAAGGTAAAGTGATGACTGCTCAACGGCACTAAGAGTTAAAGAACAACTGACTTTATCATACTGTGTGTAGTCATCTGACGATCTGCTCTATCAAAGGAGATCAACCAAAAAAAAAATAATTCACATGACTTTATCATGGAATATAAATTTCAAAAACCCTAGTTAGTCAAAACATCTACATTTCCCATTAGTAGCTAGCACAAAATAAGCCAGAATACAGAAGGTACTCAAGACATGCTTTCCAAACTGGATAAGTAAAGGTTACATGGTTAAAGCTTTAATTAAGAACAAAGTGGCATCTAAATACCAAAACTGAAGTTAATTTTTTGTAACAGTTCCACATTCTTTCAAGAAGAAAACAACTTCTGTATGTGCTATATGTCCCCAAGGGTTTAAATATGACAGATGAAATTTCTTACCTAATGCCACCTGGAGACTGGTGTTCTTCTGCACCATCTGGAGAAAGCAAGCAAAACAAAACTTTATGGATATTGATATTTTGTCTCTGCAGCCAAGAGACTCAAACCAAATTACTGCCTGGAAGAACTATACACAAGAAGAGTATCTGCAAATTGTCTAAAAGGAGCCCTATATCATCAGACCTACCCTTGACAGTTGTTCAACATTACATTTAAAATCAATAGGCAACTGGTTATTAGATCAGCACACTCTACTTGTACTGTACCATAGTCAAGTTGATCTGTATTTGGTTCTGACTTGCAGATGAGCTGCAATGAACCAGTCTTCGACCTAGAGCTTCGGGTGTTCTCTGTGTCATGATGCCGAGAAACTGATGTCCTGCTACTACTGCGCCAGCCCCGGCTAGGCCTAGTTGCAGCAACGGAAACTTCTTGAGGGAGAGCAGAATTTCCTTCTTCCTCTTTCTCTTCCTTAGGATCTAGATGAGAATATATACCATTACTTATGGTTAACTAATAACCATCTCAGTATATCTACTATTGTAAATACAGTTAATAAAAAAGAAAGTAAATTTTTTTTTCAGGAGAAAAGCCCCTCAGATTTTTGCTGAAATAAGAGAAACATGAGAGGAAAATTAGATGAAACTTCTCCTTACTGTCATCACTCTAAAAAGAAAAAAAAATTCATGTCATAAAGTAGTAGTCTTATATCATATCTAGAAAAAAATGGAACACTAAGACAAGTATGCAAAATATACCAAAGTAATTCAACTAGAATTCTAGCCTTTACATCCAAGATAAAAGAAACTAAATTAAGTGAGTGGTCCCAGAAAGATGGCTGGAACTTCTTACAGAAGCACAAGAAAGAATCACAGGTCTAGATGTGCTAACAACCAAACAACGCTGGAAGAAATTGCTGAAGAGAAATTCCATAAGAAAAATGCCGTCCCTTGACTCTTTTCAATAACTTAGAACCAAACCATGAATTTCAATTAATCTATAGCATCAATGGGGCACCTGTGTGGCTCAGTCGGTTAAGTGTCTGACTCTTGATTTCAGCTCAGGTCATGATCTCATAGTTCATGAGTTCGAGCCCTCCATCGGGATCTGCATTGACAGTGCAGAGCCTGCTTGGGATTCTCTGTCTCCCCCTCTCTCTGCCCCTGTCCTCCATGTGCACTCGCTCTCTCTCACAAAAATAAACAAATATAAAAAAAAAAAAAATCTACAGGGCCTATCATGACAAAGTCCAGCTCCAGTGTTGCTCTCCTTCGGTTTTCCTGAGATGCTGTGTACAGGTATACACACAATGTTACTGTTACCCTAGATTTTCTTCATGTTTTAAAGGTGAATGAGGTGATGTAGGACCATTCCCTCCTGAGCAATAAAAAAAAAACAAATAAAAAGCTTAGTATTAGAAACTGGCTTTCATCCCTAGAGTAGCTTATTACTATGTTAGCATATTAAAAGTGAGCACATTTTGACTATGCTTTATAATAGAAAAGCCCTTTCTAAGAACAACACAAAATTTTAGTAACAGTTGTACCTAGGACTATGTAAACATAAAAATTTTCTGCATGGCAAATTCCACTAAAAGCAAAGTCTAACAGCCCAACAGAAAAAAGCCAACAAAAACATGTGGCTTTCACACAAACAGGTCAATCCTCTCAGGAGAAACTCAAATGAAAACAATTAGTGTGGTACCATTGTTCCCGTCATACTGGCAACGATCCAAATGTTTGACAACAGAGTATTGGCAAGGCTGGAGACAGTAACACAGATGACAGCATGTGCACTGGCAAATCTCTATGAAGGACACTTTGGCAGGATCTACTGAAATTATAAATGCACATCCTTTCACATTAACTTCAACTAGGAATTTATCCTACAGAATTGCAATCACATTTATGAAATGACTTGTGTATAGTCATCAAAGCACTGTTTTTAGTAGTAAAAGAGTAGAAAACAGCAGGAGGGGCTTGGTTATATGAATTATGATACATCTAGTCGGTAGGCAACTGCATGGAAATACTTCCATGACACTTCATTATGCAAAAAAACCCCACATCCATGTAATATCCAAGTATTATATAGGTATACATTTTTTTTTTATATAGAAATAAATATACATGCAAGATATGTATCTTATATATGATAATAACACTTCTGGAAGGACATACAAGAAATTGATAAATACTGGTCACTTCCAGAGAAGGTACAAAAATATGTCCAGTAATTCTAAGTATCTACCTGGGAAAATAAACTGGCAGCGGACATTCACTGTAGCATATTTATAACAGCTAAAGAATGGAAACGACCCATCCCTTCAAGATGATGACCCATACTGAGTAAGAGAATATTCAAATAAACTATGGTTTATTACTAAGATGGGATATTATATAGAGGTATCTGTAAAGAATGACATGGAATTATTGGTAAAAATACTGTTAAATAGAAATTAAGCAAAATGTAAGACACAAAACTATATCTAACATGTTTTTTAAGATATGAAAAATATAGTTTCCTCTACTGTGGAACAAGGTGGTGACTGGAGGCTATTTCAGCTTTAGCATACTCTGAAAATTTTATGAGAATATATTAAGGAAATGGAGTAAAATTAGTTTGAATTATAGAGAATAGCAGTGGGAACTCCTAAAAACCTGACATAATTTTTATATCAGAAATGCATTTCCTTTCAGTTTTCTTTCCCACTCATTATTGCCTTTCTCACTCTTCTCATATCTGAACTATTTTAAGTATCAAAATATGAAATAATAATAAAAAAGGTTACATTTTAAAATATCTTCAACTATCTACAATCCAATGGGTTTTATCCATAAGTAACTGGAAGGTCAAAGACAACTTGTTTAAAATCACAAAGCTAGATAAGCAGACCCAGATATAAAAATCATGTCTTGAGACTTCTCCATCTAGGTCATGAGTGCTTTTAAGATAAGATACAGGGGCGCCTGGGTGGCACAGTCGGTTAAGCGTCCGACTTCAGCCAGGTCACGATCTCGTGGTCCGTGAGTTCGAGCCCCGCGTCAGGCTCTGGGCTGATGGCTCAGAGCCTGGAGCCTGTTTCCGATTCTGTGTCTCCCTCTCTCTCTGCCCCTCCCCCATTCATGCTCTGTCTCTCTCTGTCCCAAAAATAAATAAACGTTGAAAAAAAAATTAAAAAAAAAAAAAAAGATAAGATACATCAATTTCTTCAAAGAAAGCAATTCAACATCCTCCATAAAGTATTATAAGAATAATGGAGGGGTGCCTGGGTGGCTCATTTGGTTAAATGTCTGACTCTCGATGTTGGCTCAGGTCATGATCTCACAGTTTGAGTGCTGTGTTGGGCTCTGTGCTGAGTGTAAAGCCTGCTTGGGATTCTCTCTTTCCCTTTCTCTCTGACCCTCCCCTACTTGCTCATGCACCCGTTCTCAAAAAAAAAAAAAAAAAAGTAAATAAATATATATGTATTTACTCAACCCAATGACACTAACTTGGACTTTAAACCCATTCCACTTCCTGTAAAGCTTTTTTCCTTCAGTATGAAGGATTGTATGGCCACATCTTCTCATGCTATTCCTCTTATGCACGAGAGAATTGCTTATTCTTATAAATAAAGCATAATAGCCTGGTTTGTGGAATACCACCCCATTCCCCCTAAACTCTATAAGAAAGAAAAGAAACATTATCAGAGTACTGTTAGCAAAAATGTACCTCATCAGAAACACACACACACACACACTGCCAGAATCAATTTTGTACAAACTCTGGAAAATACTCAAACATGTTACAGCAAACACGTGAACACTAAATTAAAAAAAAAAACAAAAACAGAAACAGATGAGTTATACAAGCCATTTAGGGAAATCTTGATCAAATTACTTATTGAACATAAGCTAAAGGAAACAGCCTTTAAAGATGACAAGACAAAGAATACAGTGTTTAAAAATATGGTCAAAAAGCTAAAGGGTTTAAACCACTGACAAATAACTAACAACAATCAGGAGAATAATATGTCAACAAATAAAGAATGCCGGTAAAGAAGTAGTAATTCTAAAAAAAAAAATCAAATTCTGTAGCTGAAAGTGTAACAACTGAAATGAAAAACTCACTAGGGGATTTCATTAAACGGATCTGAGGAAAGATGAATCAGCAAACTGTAAGGTCAAATAAGAGTATCCAATTCAAAGAACAGAAAGAAAAGTAAACAGAGCCTCCTAAGATACCCATGGGACCATTAAGCATACTGACTTAAGCATACACACGAGAGTCCTAGAAAGAGAGGAGAGAGTGGAGCAGAAAGAATATTTGAGGAAATAAAAGCCATCAGTTTCTCAAAATTAGTAAAACATGAATGTACACAAAACAGACATTCCATGAACTCCAAGTAGGACAAATTCTGTGGAACTGAATAAAGGAAACATTTACAGGGGAGCTGGCTGACCCAAGCCATACCACTCTGTTGCAACCCTTTGCAGACCCAAGAGAAAGAGATGTACCAAGCATTCCCAACAGAAAGAAGCCTAGTCTACTACCTAGCAGGAGGAAGATTTTTCCTTGCCAGGCAAGGAGACACAGTCACAACTCAGCCAATGAAAAGCTATTATATTTCAAACTCCCAGTTTACTCCATTGGACTCTGGCCCCCCAGCCCCCACCTCCACCCCTGCCCAGAAGTTCCTCTCCTTTGTTTGAAGGACTTGCCTATCACTTGTTATTGCTTGCTTGTCCAGAATTGTAAATCCTCTGCTATTCCTGAGTAAACCCATTTTCCTGGTAAAACAGTTGGGTGTTATAGTTTTTTGTTTTGTTTTGTTTTGTTTTGTTTTAAGTTTATTTATTTATTTAGAGGGGGAGAGAGAGAATCTCTCTGACAGGCTCTGCACTATCAGCATGGAGCCTGATGCGGGGCTTGAACTCATGAACTGTGAGATCATGACCTGAGCCAAACACCAAGAGTCAGACCCTTAACTAACTGGGCCACCCAGGCACCCCTTGGCTGTTTTACTTTTAAGGTCAACAACTCAAGAGATCCAAGCCAAGACACATTACAATCAAACTGTCAAAAGCCAAAAGACAAAGAGAGACTCCCGAAAACAAAACAGTGTTAAGAGGAGTGACTCATCAGGTATAAGAAATGCTCAATAACATTAATAGCCTATTTCTCACCAGAAACCATGGAGACCAGAAGGCAGAGATATCATATTTAAAGTGATAATGTCAAGCAAGAATTCTATATGTGGCAAACTATCCTTTCAAAATGGAGATGTTCTCAAATAAACAAAAGCGAAGTTTGTAGCTAATAGACGTGCCCTGCAAGAAATGCTACATAGGGTGTCTTCCAGGCTGAAACGAAAGGACACCAGGAAATAATTCACAGCCATATGAGGAAATAAAAACACCGTAATTACATAAATAAATATAAAACAGTATTATTATATTTTTGGTTTATAACTCCTCATTTTCCCCCTACTTAAAAG